GCTTCGCAGCAGCAGCAGCAGCAGCAGCAGCAGCAGCAGCAGCAGCAGCAGCAGCAGCAGCAGCAACAGCAGCAGCAGCAGCAACAGCAGCAACGGCACTTCAGGCGAGGAGGAGCTTGAGCCCTATCCTGCCGCTGCTGCTGCAGTTGCTGCTGCAGCAGCAGCAGGAACAACTGCTGCCGACAGCCAAGGGCCCGCCAGCAGCGGCCCTGCTGCTGCTGCTGCTACAGCAACAGCAGCAGAGCAGGTGCTGCTGCTGCTGCTGCAGGGGCAGCAAGTCCCTCTGTGTCTCATTGACTTTGGCTTGAGCTCGACATCGTCTCTGCCGGAGGTTAGCTGCTGCTGCTGCTGCTGCTGCTGCTGCTGCCGATGCTGCTGCTGCTTTTCTCTTGCTGCTGCGCTTCGGGCTGCTGCTGCCCCGTCTGCTGCTGCTGCTGCTGCTGCTTCTCTTCCTGCCTTTGCTCTTGCTGCTGCCCTTCCCGAGCTGCCTTTGCTGTTGTTTCTGCTGCCGCCCCTGCTGCTCCTCTTTATGCTGCTGCCTTTGCTGCTGCTGCTGCTGCTGCTGCTGCTGCTGTTTATTTTGGCCCTTGTTGCTTCGCTCACTCCCCGTGAGGTTTGGAGTTTTATTGAATTATCTAGTTATATAAATGATGTTTGCTTGGTGGCTTTCCTATTTACTGCTGCTGCTGCTGCTGCTGCTGCTGCTGCTACTGCTGCTGCTGCTGCTGCTGCTGCTGCTGTGTCAACAGGAAAAAGCAGTGGACCTTTTCGTGTTGGAGAGAGCCAGCAGCAGCAGCCACAGCTGCTGCTGCTCCTTTTTTGCTGCTGTTCTTGAGGGTTATAAAGCAGTGGCGGAAGGCGCCAGCAACACTTTGGCCCGGCTAGAAGCAGGTGCGTTCTAGGGTTTAGGGTTTAGGGTTTAGGGTTTAGGGTTTAAGGTTTGGGGGGCGGGGTTTACGGGTGCAGAGGGTTATGGCCGAGGAGTCAGAAGCTAAGGCACAACATATATAAGGGTTTAGGGTTTGGCTGCTTTGCTAGGGTTTACGGGCTAGGGTTTCGCTGCTTTGCTAGGGTTTAGGGTTTAGGGTTTAGGGTTTAGGGTTTAGCTGCGGTTTGAGGGCTTGGAGTTTGCGATGCTGCTCTTGTGCAGTTCGTCTACGGGGGAGGAAGCGACTAATGGTTGGCTGAGTCACAGCCTACCACGCAAACCCTAAACCCTAAACCCTAATTTAGGGTTTGTGGGGTCGTCTCGGACTCAAACAATTTATCTCTTCGTAGTCCACTACAAGTATACTCCCTAGAATCCGTCTTTGGGCTGTCTACCTGTCTTCTTCAAGTCTAGGGTTTAGGGTTTAGGGTTTAGGGTTTGGGCTCTCTAGGATGTCATCTTGTGCATATCAAAGTCCAGCTAGGGTTTAGGGTTTACGCTCTCTAGGGTATCTTCTTGTGCAAATCAAGGTCTTCGAGGGTTTAGGGTTTGGGACTTCCCCTGTAGGCTTTCTTTATGAACAAATCGAGGTCTAGGGTTTAGGGTTTAGGGTTTAGCCCAAACCCGCCTCTGCGGCTAGGCGTGCTGCGAGGGTTTAGGGTTTAGTCTAAACCCTAAACCCTCGCTGCGTCCAGTTAGCAAACAACAAATAAATAATGCTAAATTGAAATAGCAAGCAGCTGCAAACACGGATGCGCCCGGCGGCGCATCCGTGTTTAGGGTTTAGGGTTTAGGGTTTAGGGTTTGGGGCTCCCGCTGCTTCTCATTGCTCCGTTGAGGGGACAAGTACACAACTTAGTTAATCAGCAGCAAGCCACAACTGGTACTAAGGAGACATATAAACAAGAGAAGACTCAACCCTTGCTGCTGCAGCAGCAGCAGCTGCTGCAGCAGCTGCTGCAGCAGCAGCTGCAGCAGCAGCTGCGGCAGCTGCTTTCGGAGAGGGTTTCCTTGCTGTCTCTATCTGCTGCTGCTCGACTTACAGAGAGTCTCCCTTTCCCTCAGCGCCTGCCGCAACAGGAGCAGCAGCAGCTGTTGCTGCAGCAGCTGTTGCTGCTGCTGCTGCTGCTGCTGCTGCTGCTGCTGTGCACCAGCAGCGCTGCAGCAGATATACCCCTACATCCTGCGGCGGGACTGGAGCAGCAACGCGGCCGAGGCTGCGCCAGCCGCTGCAGCAGCTCAGCTGCTCTTCTTGCCAGTTTCCGAAGCCACATTCAACTGCTGCTGCTGCTGCTGCTGCTGCTGCTGCTGCTGCTGCTGCTGCTGGGGACGCTGCAGCAAGACTGTTATCCTTTTCGCCTGCGCTGCTGCAGCGCACAAGGGGAGGCTCGTGCCTTCCACCGTCGTGCTGCTGCTGCTGTTGCTGCTGCTGCTGTTGCTGTTGCTGCTGCTGTTGCTGCTGCTGCTGTTGCTGTTGCTGCTGCTGCTGCTGCTGTAGGTGATGTGGGGTCATAGATACATGCTGTAGAACTTGCTGTGCATGCAGCTGGCGGCGTCTGCAGCAGCAGCAGTTGTTGCTGCTGCATTTGCTGCTGCTGCGCTGCAGTCTGCGCAGCAGCTTACTCCACATGGTCCTCGCGAGCAGCAGCTGCTGCTGCTTCCGTTCATAGAGCTTCTGCTGCTGCTCCCGCTGCTGCTGCTGCACCTGCTGCAGCAGCACCAAAGGCAGCTTCTTGTCGAATTCTCTTTTGCCAAAAATGTTGCTGAGGTGTACGTACACCTGAAGAACAGGCCTATACGCGTGTTCCTGCTGCTCCTGCTGCTGCTGCTGCTGCTGCTGCTGCTGCTGCTGCTGCTGCTGCTGCTGCCACGCTTCCTGCTGCTGTTCCACTGCCTGCAGCAGCTTCCGCACCACTAGCTGCTGCTGCCGCAGCAGCAGCAGCAGCCCCTTATCAAGGCTCTCCACGACGACGCAGGTCCTTATGGGGGACAGCTGCAGCGCCTGGCCAGCAGCAGCAGCAGCAGCTGCTGCTGCTGTTGCTTCCTGGCCTGCTGCAGTGAGAGCAGCAACGAGCGCCTGCTCCTGTTCTCCCGCTGTGGCCACTGCTGCTCCATTAGCAGCAGCAGCGTCTGCTGCTGCTGCTTCCCCAGCAGCAGCAGCAGCACCCGCCGCTGATGCAGCAGCAATAAGGGAGTGCATGCGCTGCAGCGAGGGCTGCCGCTGCAGCGACAGCAGCAGCAAAGGTGCAGCAGCAGCTTCAGTTGGCTGTCTCCAGGCCTCGACGAAGCACAGTGGAGCAGCAGGCATCCATTCTGCTGCTGCTGCTGCTGCTGCTGCGGGGTCAGCAGCAACAGCTGCAGCGTGTCTTGCGGAGGAAGGACTGCTGCTGCTGCTGCTGCTGCTGCTGCTAGGTGCAGCAGCAGCAACAAAGCCGCAAAGGCCCCAGTTAGGGGACACAGAGCAGCCCCGCAGCTGCAGGCGGACTGAGAGCCACTCAGTAGGCAATGGGGTTGCTGCTGCTGCTGCTGCTGCTGCAGCTGCTGCTTCGGCTCTTGCTGCTCGCGCTGCTGCTGCTGCTGCTGCCTCCGCTTGCTCTGCCCCAGCTGCTGCTGCCACTGCTGCCATGCTTGCTGCTGCTGCTGCTGCTGCTTCCTTTTTCTCTAAGCCAATGTCCCACTCAAACGGCAAAGGGCGGATGAAGCCTGCTGCTGCTGGTGCTGCTGCTGCTGTTGACGCTGCTGCTGCAGTTTCTGCTGCGGATTCATCCCAAGAAATAATGCTGCTGCTGCTAATGCGTCTGCTGCTGCTGCTGCTGTTGCTGCTGTTGGGTGCTGCGTACGCTTCGCTTGAAGCAGCATCTGACAGAGTGACTGGTTCCGCTGCTGCTGCTGCTGCTGCTGCTGCCGCTGCTGCTACTGCAGCTGCTGCTGCTGCAGCTTCGTTTGACTGGTCATCCCGGGCGGGTAATTTCAGCTCAGATGCTGCTGCTTCTGCTGCTGCTGCTGCTTCTGCTGCTGCTGCTTCTGCTGCTGCTTCTGCTGCTGCTGCTTCTGCTGCTGCGTCTGCTGCTGCTGTTTCTGCTGCTTCTGTTGTTGCTCCTTCTGCTGCTGCTCCTTCTGCTGCTTTTGCTTCCGGTGTTGTTGCTGCCTCTGCTGTTGTCGTTGATGCTGCTGCTGCTGCTTCTTCTGCTGCTGCTTCTTCTTCTGCTGCTCCTTCTGCTGCTGCTTTTACTTCTGGTGTTGTTGCTGCCTCTGCTGTTGTTGCTGCTGTTGCTGCATCTACTAGCTTCGTTGCTTCTGCTGTTGCCGCTTCTGCTGCTGCTGCTGCTGCTGCTTCTAAAGCTGCTGCTACTGCTGCCGCTGCAGTTTCTGCTGCAGTGTCTTCTTGCTGCTGCCATGCTGCTGCTGCTGCTGCGACTTTGTCCTCTGCAACTCCTGCACGCGCTGCTGGTCGTTCTGTTGCAGCAGCAGCTGCTGCTGTTGCGGTAGCCTCTGCTGCGGCTCGCTCAGCTGCTGCTGTTGCTGCTGCTGCTGCCTCGTCTGCTGCCTCGGAAGCAGCAGCAGCAGCAACTGCTGCTGCCTCTGCTCTTGCTGCCCTTGACGCAGCAGCTTCAGCAGCAGCAGCTGCTGCTGCTGCTGCTTCGGCAGCAGCAACAGCTGACGCCGCAGCTGCTGCTGCATCGGCAGCAACTGCAGAGGCTGC